ACTGCTCGCAAAGCTACTACGGAAAAATTATGGTAGAACACCAGGTGTAGCGGCATCTCACCTTGCAGTGCCGAGGGATCACAAAAAGGCTGGTTCCTCGGTAGACTGCTGTCAAACTCCGTCCCGTCTTCTAGCTTCCCCGTGTAGTGCGTATGTAAGACATCTCCCTTTCTAGACTTGATGGGGCCGTGGTCCACGCATTTCTTCACTCCAATCTGCAGCTTCTGTTTTCTTTTGGCCCCCGTGGCTGTGGCCAGGGCACTCAGGCAAATGGACAGCATTGTGAGGACCCAGCTCAGCCCAGCTCAGCCTCATGACTCCTCACCGTGCAGGCTACCAAACAGACTTTGAGGACCTCCACCGAAACAGACACCTCTGTGTGGCTTAATGTCCCCAGCTGCAGGCAGCTGCCTGGCCCAGTCTATTACCTGCTTGATTCAGATGGATAACCCTAGGTGCATTGAGAACATCTGGGGTTTACGTTTGCTTTTGCATCAAGACTGAACAGAGCTGGAGTAAGTGACAGCCACTCCTGCCACTATTCCTCAAGCAGAGGCAGAGGCTTCCTGAAGCTAGGCTTTCCTCTAAGCATTAAGGGCATTAAGAAGCTCACACCCAGAAAGCTACCACTGCGGTTTTCTTCCCTGAGGCCCCTTTCCTGGCCATATTCCCCTCTGTTAGCACTGCTGTATTATTCATTTGAAAACCACATTCACTTTACAAAGTGCCCTGGGATTGGGATGCTTTTCCAATCCATTTTTGTTTGGATGACTCTCCATCACTAAAGTTATACCCCAGAGTACTTATAAGAACCGTCTTTTCTGGGTGACGAACACATCAGACTTAGAGGGGCTGAGTCCTGCCGTGACCTTCAGAAGACACCCAGAGCTGTTTGTGTGAGCGGAATAAATCCACTCTGAGCAGATGACCTGTCCAGCCCACAACTATTGGTGTCTGGTATGTTTCCAGAAACAAAAGCAGGTTCACTCCAACACCACTGTCAGGCTGATGTAGGGGCAACAGGGCACTGTTGACTGCTAACTGGAATCCTGTGACTGCAGTCTCTCTGTTCTTTCTCAGCAGGGTGTGTTGGTACCTGTCTGTAAACCCAGAATTTGGGAAACGGGAGAACCAGGAGTTCAAGGTCATCCTAAGGCACATATTAAATTTGAGGCCACCATGACAGATCACACAGACCACTGCAAAGAGCCCATATCATATCCTCCAGTTGTTTTTCTTCCCAGAATTTTTTTTAATTCCCCATTTACAGGACAAAGTTCATCTGAGGTATCAAAACGGTCACCATAGGTCAATTTGAGGTTCTTGTCATAGCTGTTTGCTGCTTAGCTGACAAAAACTACGAGAGTGAGGTCCAAGGTTTAGTGAGAGACCCTGTCTCCTGGGAATAAGATGGAGAACAGCAGAGGTGGACACCCAGTGTCCTCATTTGGTCTCCATACACATGCACACGGGCACACATGCACACGGGCACACACGCACACGGGCACACACACACACACACACACAGTTCTGCTTACGTAAAATGTAAAGAACACGCCGTGTAAAACAACTGGGCTGGCGAGATGGCTCAGAGGGTAGAGGCACCTGCAGCCAAGAGTTTTATCCCTGGCATCCACACAGTAGGGGGAGAGGACCAACTCCTCTGAGCTCTGCATGTGGGCCGTGACGTGCATACATGCACACACAAACTAAACAAAATATAATCCATTCCTAAGTCCAGCAATTTTTTTTTTGTTTCTGCCCCAGTTAGAAGCGTGCTACCACCACCACCACCACCATCTGGTCTATGTAGGTTTCCGTTTCTGCCAACGATTCCTCTGTCCATCGGCAGTCCCATCCTGGCCCCACCCGAACTTCAGGCAACCAGGAACTGGCCCTCATTCTCTACAGACCCCTCCCATTAAGGGGTCCGAGCATGCGGCCGTTTCCCTGCATGGTTTTCCCGCTGCCCCATGCTGGGACCGTCTTTAGCGCCGCGTGTCCGTTGTTGGCTCTCCCATCCTGACCCCCTTCCCCCAGTGAGCCACGTGGTGACTTGAGGGGCCCTGGAGCTCCTAGGCTAGTCAGGCACCTTTTCCTCTCCCTGAAGCAGACAAGACCAACGTCCTTTGTTCCAATCACCCGGGGCACACCAGCCAAATCCAAACTGCCAGGAGCTTTTCCAAGCTTAGGGGGCAACCAGTGGCTGGCAGGGACCAGTGTGTGAGCTCCCTTTGCGTTACTGTGATGAAGATACTGCCATAGACGACTTAGAAGTTGGGGCTGGAGAGATGGCTCGGTGGTTAAGAGCACTGGCTGTTCTTCCAGAGGTCCTGAGTTCGGTTCTCAGCACCCACGTGGTGTTTCCCAACCACATTTATAGTGGGGATCTGATGGCCTCCTCTGGAACAGAGTTATACATACAGATAGAGCACCCATATACATAAAATAAATACAGTATTTTTTTAAAAAAAATTGCTCACAATGACTTGTCCACGGGTGCTTGGGAAGAGTCGCAACAGGGACTGAGGCAGAAGGGAGCTGCTCGTTTCATCTGGAAAGGGAACAGGAGAGTAGGAAGTAGCTGGGAACAAGGAATGATCCAAGAACCCTCCTCAGAGACCTGCTCCCTCCGACTAGATAACTCCTCTGAGAGTTTCTAGAATCTGCCCGAACCATGCCACCGCCTGGACACCAAGCTCCAAACTGTGACAGACAGTACATAAACACCCTGTTCTCTCACGGACACGCTTCACACCGGCTGTTGAGTCAACCTTTCATCCCTCACGGTGCCTGGTCTATCGCTGGTCCCTTGTGAGTGGTGTCACCGAGGGCAGTAAACCTGGCCAAGCCCACTCACTATGCCTGCTTATTAAAGGGCGAGGCTAAGGGGCAAGGCTGGGACTTCCACCCGGGAGTGGTGACTGTACGTTAATTGTGGAAGGAACTGGATTACTTTATTTATGAAAACTTCCAAAGTTGCGGGAATTTTACAGCGAACACCTATTATACCTACTGCCTAGAATCTTCCATTCACACTTCACTTTTTTTGGGGGGGGGTTTGAGACAGGGTTTCCCTGTGGCTTTGGAGGCTGTCCTGGAACTTGCTCGGTAGACCAGGCTGGTCCCGAACTCACAGTGATCCTCCTGCCTCTGCCTCCCGAGTGCTGGGATTAAAGGTGTGTGCCACCAACGCCCGGCTCACACTTCACATTAAAAAAAAAATCCATTTGCTCTTTTCTCAGTCATGCTGTAATTTTGTAGATATCAATTTACAAGCAACGGGATTCTTCTATTTATGTTTTTATTTTCTTATTTATTTGGTTTCTCAAGACAGAGCTTTCTGTGTATCCTGGGCTGTCCTTGAACTCCCTGCACAGACCAGGCTGACCTCAAACCCGGAGATATAAAAGAAGCCATTTGAGTGATTTGACTGGGGCTGGCATACAGCTCAGAGGTTTAGTCCACTATCAGGGCGGGAAGCGTGGCGGCGTGCGGGCAGGCACGGTGCTGGAGAAGGAGCTGAGAGCTCTACACCGGAGGCACCAGGAGGACAAGGTCACACTGAGCCTGGTTTGAGCACCTGAAGCCTCATAACCCACTCCCAAGTGACACACCTCCTCCAGGAAAGTCACACCTCCTCCAAGGCCACACCCCCAACAAGGCCACACCCCTCCAACAAGGCCACACCTCCTCCAGGAAAGTCACACCTCCTCCAACAAGGCCACACCCATCCGACAAGGTCACACCTCCTCCAGGAAATTCACACCTCCTCCAACAAGGCCACACCTCCTCTAGGAAAGTCACACCTCCTCCAACAAGGCCACACCTCCAGGAAAGTCACACCTCCTCCAACAAGGCCACACCTCCTCCAGGAAAGTCACACCTCCTCGTGGTGTCAAGTGTCAACCCCTCAGGGCCTATGGCAGCCAGTTTCATTCAAACCACCACAGCTCAGGTTTAGATCCCAGCGTCGCACATGGTGGCTCACAACCCTCTGCGACTTCAGTTCCAAGGCATCTGTCACCCTCTTCTGACCTCCTTGGGCACCAGGCGTGCAGAGTGTGCATGCACAGACACGCAGGCAGAACACTCGCACGCACATACAGTAAGATCAGTCAGTCTAAAGCCTTTTAAATGAGTACCTTCTTAGGCGTGGTTCCGCATTTCTTTCTTTTAATGTAAAATTTGTTTTCAGCAACACACATCTCTAAAAATGTCCACCTGTCATTCTGACTACGCACATCTACCTGCCAGACACGGGATTCGTGACGAAAGACAATAAATACTGCAGCAGAGTTATTTTGAAATCTTGTTGCCTTTTATTCTTAACTCTAGAGCTAGAGTCAATTGCCGTCCATGGACAGCAGGGTGTGTGGAGAGCTGAGGGACACAGGGGGAGACGCCCAGCGTCCTGCCTTCAGACCGCCTCCAGGCAGACACAGAATGCAGCCAACAATGGGGTCACGCGTGCAGTACCGTTTCCTTTGCACGGCTCCACCAGCGTCAACAGGACTGGATTCGGGGCAGGGGTACAGCACACAGCACTCCTGCTGCCCTGAGGATAATCTAGAAGCCCCTGCCCCTGCGGGAAACCCAAACTGCCACGGGCATCACTGTACCTACCATGTATGTACTCGGCTCTTTTTGGTGAGGGTGGAGCCGGTGCTGAACACCAAACCCCAGAAACCTATACTGAGCACACGCCCTGCTACTGAGCTATTACAACCCCAGTCCAGGCTGTTCTCCCAAAACGTCGTCATTATTACTATTATTGAGTGATGTGCACACGTGTGTGTCTTCAGGCGCACTTGCTTGTGGCGCACATGTGAAGATGAGACACTAAATGTCTTCTATCTCCCTCTACCATGGGTTTGGGAGACAGGGTCTCTCACTGAACCTGGAGCTCGCTATTTCAGCTACACTGGCTGGTCAGTGAGCCTCTGGGATCAGCCTGTCCCCTCCTGCAGTGCTGGGGTCACAGGCTCCATGCCACTCACCGCACTTGGCGTTGACGTGGGTGCTGGAGATGCAGACCCAGGTCCACGTGCTTGGATGGCGGGCGCAGACCCAGGTAACTCGTGCTTGGGCGGCGGGCTCTTCATCACCCCAGCCCTGCTCGTGGTGCGCCTGCGTACGTCCGACTGCCCTGCGGAACTCAGAGATTACAAGCAGCTCCAGCTGTGGGACGTGGGTTGAAACAGCTTCATTTAATAAAATGGTAGGAGGTATTTAGTTCAACATGTGAACGGGATAGCAGGCTTGAAGGTGGGTTCGCATTTTGATAACAGTGCCTACATCAATGTTCTAAAAGTAATCTGAACTCAGAGGACACTTCTGTATCTGCAGTAGGAACTTCCATACGTTGCACAGGTCCTCTAGTGCCCTCTTCTGATCTAATGTGGTAGTGCATGCCAGGCTGAAGTTGATGAGCCGGCCCTTGGGGTTTGGGGAGGACTCCTCTTAAAAGGTTACGCCCAAGTCAAAGACTGCAGACTTCAGTCTGTGGAGAGCTGGAGGGATGCAAAGTTACCTTGGGCTGTCTGTATCTGTAGCCTCCTTAATTGCTATCCATTGCAGACATGTCTGATCTAACATCCCGTGACTATCCTGTGAACCTTTGGGATGTACGAACAGAACACTAGGCTGCACCAACCCAAAGGTTAAAAATGTCATGACAGAGCATGTCACACTCCCTCTAGTGACATGAGACCCACAGCAGACATGTCCCCATTTGCACCCATTTACCCAGTATCTCCACTGATGAATTTGAAAAGTGATTTAAATGGGTTTTTCTGTACTTATAAAAAGCATGAAACTGTTGTCATGTTGGAACAGGTACCTGAAGCAACCTGAATTCATCTTCACAGGCCTTGGTCACTCATATTGATTCCAGAATGAACTATCTCTCCCTCCCGTTGAGGTGAAAGCTGTATTGGGTATGGAAAAAATTCTGGTTAAAGCCACTGGGACCTTTTCCTGAAAAAGTGTTTGTAAATGCATAAAATAAAATAAAGAAAATAAATAGAATCGTATTGAAATTCAGAGACACTAGTACTGAAACACTGAATAAACAAATTTGTTATTTAACACCTTGTTAAATAACAAGCAACTGTTGTAATTCAAAATTATGATGATGCTAAACAATATTTTCAGATCTCTGTAGCAACAGTAATCTGGCATGTAAACACCTGTGGGTTTTGACAGTGCAAACACAGTAGGTGGTGTGCTGCCGTTCTGACGCTGCCAGTAACAATGTACCACAAACAGGGGGCCTTAAAGTAGGTCCTCATTCTCCCTGGACCCCGGTGTTCTAAACTCAAGATGTAGTCAGACTGATGCTCCCTCCAGAGCCTTTGAGGACTCTTCCTGGCTCAGCCAGCTTCTGGTGACCCCGGGATCTCCATGGCACATGGCTAGAAGACTCCAACCTCTGAGGCTGTCTTCATGCAGCCATCTATACAGCTTACGTTACTACACTGGGCACCCTCTACTGTCCGCATTAACAACTCGCTGTGGTTGCACCCTCTTTCCTGCTGTGAACAGGGAGTTGCACCCTCTTTCCTGCTGTGAACAGGGAGGGAGGAGCCCTTGCTGCTAAGCAGGGTCAACAGCCACACAACAGTGTCAGGAAGTCTGACACATGGAGACCAACCCCAGGCTTCCCATATCCCGGGGACCGAGGCAAAGGAGAGGCCATGGGATGGGGAAGGTCAGGCATCTGTCACTGAGGCTTGAGGAGCTTGGGTTGGGTCTAGAATGCTGGAAGAATGAGATCATTAAGACAGGTTTCAGATGCTGGAGCAGAGAAAGGTGAGATAAGACCACAGGAGATGCTTCATATTTAGCTTAAAAGTTAGATGCACTGTCCTGGCCAGTCCTTCCTTCCTTCCTCCCTCCCTCCCTCCTTCCCCTCTCCTCCCTCCCCTCCCCTCCTCTCTCTCTCTCTCTCTCTCTCTCTCTCTCTCTCTCTCTCTCTCTCTCTCTCTCTCTCTCTCTCTCTCTCTGCTGGTCAGTATGACATAAGCTACAGCCCTCTGAGGAAAAGAGAACCTCAGTGAGAAAATGCCTCCGTAAGACTAGCCTGTAGGCAGCAGCTTGGGGCATTTTCTTGACTAATGGTGACGTGGGAGGGCCTAGCCCACAGAGGGCATGCCACCCTTACCCAGGAGGCTCAGAGAGGTACAAGAAAGCAGGCTGCGCAGGCCATGAGGGAGGAGCCACCATGAGCAGTGTTTCTTCAGTTCACGCCCCAGGCACCCACCCGGCACGATGACTGTAAACCATAAAATAAAATGAACCTTTTCCTGCCCAAGTTGGTTTGGGTCAGAGTTTTTATCACAGCAACAAAAATCAAGCTGAAATTCAAAAAAGCTTCCCACATTTAGAACTGGTGGATTAGTCAGAATCCTAAAAGTAACTAAGAAAATTGCCTTGTGGGTCCAATTACATACCATTAAAATTATCATTAACTATTCACAAGATGAAAACAGATCCTGCTTTAACGCTGTTCAATTTATTTCATTCTGCATATAACTTATGCAAACAGTCATTTTCTTAACAAATAAAGGGCTCTACAAACCAATTAAAAAAATGACCAAACACTCACAGATAGGAAAGACTGATGATTCTTCAACATACAAAATTATGTTTAATGTGACCTTTATACAAAATTCAGGTGCTGGGGTGTGCAGCAGAGTGCTTGCCTACCACGCATGAAGCCCTGGGTTCAATTCCCAGCACTACATAAAAGAAAAACAGTCTCCATTAAAAAGTACCCTATGATGCCATCTTCATCTCTTGGATTGGCACAGGTCGCAGCGTTTGGTGGGTGGAGAGCAGACACCTGCTCTTGGATGGAGCAGGAAACATCCCGGCCTCTGTGGAGGTGGCCTCTCTGGACAGGATCCCAGCAGTATTTACGGAAATTTCGAGTGCATGGGTCTTTCGAAGTCTTCTGAAAACCACTTCTGCGTGGGCATGCGCAAACGGCCCCTGTGAAAGGAGAGTAACTGCTCCGTCGCTTGCAGAAAACCGGGACCGGCTGACCTGTCCGTCAGTGCGCCCACACAGTGAAACTCAGCTGTAAAGAGACCGGGAAGGGATGAACACCTACCGCACCGCAGAGGAGGAGAAACAGGTCCCCCCTAACCTTCCAGGTTCAGTGCTGATGTCCGGGCGACACAAGGCAGACTAGTAAGAACAAACAGATTTATGTGATGTTATTCCCTAACACGAGAGCCACAGTAAGGAAATGAAGGCACAGAGACCTGGATTGTTAAGCCTGGGTACTTTCAGCGGCAAGAGTGAGAGACAGGGGCTGGGATAAAAGGGATCACCGAGAACGAGATGCCTCTCACCATCCCTTTCTCTCCCTGCGTGTGGCGGTGGCGTCTCCTGCCTGAGGGCTTCCTCCACTCCTCCAGAGCCAGCGTAGACTCCTCCTTGTACACTGTACTCCCCACAGTCCTTCGGCTCACGTTTTGGAGGGGCGAGGTGCACATCTACTCCTGGTCCCAACGGAGAGTAGAAGAAGGCACCGGGTCCCCCGGAACTCGAGTGACGGGTGGCTGTGACCTGCCACACGTGTGTGGGGAGTGCAGCTCAGGACCTCCGGATGGACAGCAAGCGATCTTAACTGTTGAGCCATCTCTCCAGCACTGACATTGTTCATTTATTTATTTTTAAGACTTTGGCACTGGGTCTCACTGTGTAGCCCTGGCTGGCCTAGAACTTGCTCTGTAGACCAGGCTGTCCTCAAATCAGGACCACCTGCCAATGAGTCCAGAGAGCTGGGACTAAAGGGGTGTGTTACTCCCCGCCCCCACCATGCTCAGCTCTGGGTAATCTTTATTAACTTATTTTTGACGTGCTAACTCTCTGGCTGTGACTGCACGGCAATCACAGGGCTCAGGCGACCCTGTCTGAAGTCCCAGTTTCACGTGTCGTCAGGTTCTCAAGAGCAAGGTCCCAGCAGGTGCTGCTCAGGTGCTTTACCCACATTGCAGACCAGATGCTGGTGCCCATTCCAAAGGCTCCTGATGATGTGTGCACAGGTTATCTCGGCAAGAGACTGCCTTGTCACAGGTCCCTTGAGAATCTAGTTCTGCCTACTTCTCGGTGATGATCCAAGAAGATGGCCAGGTCCCGTGGCTCAAGTATGTGTTCCCAGCTACTCAGGAGGCCGAGGCAGGAGGATCACAAATTCAATGCCTGCCTAGGCTATGGAGTGAGTTTAAGACTTGTCTGGGCAACTAACCGACAAGGTTTGTTTTCTCCCCCTGGCTGGCACTCGCCATGGAAGGGACTGTCCTGGTCTATTGGTGTCACTGTCCCTGTACCCAGGGGCCTCTGTCTTTACTGTTTTACCACTGCAGTTTCTCAAATGCTTTTCACTCCACTGCTAGAAATTGAACCTAGGACCTGCCTCGGGCATGCCGGGAAAGTGCTATACCATGAAACTAGGTCCCAGCACACTTTATTAACTAAACAGAATTTTCTTTGTGAAGGATCCACATGGAGCTCACTTTGGAGAAACACTGCTGTTGGTAGTAGGTGAGTGGCTAAGAGTATGGGTTTAGGCCTGTAGTGAAGTCTTGGCCTACTTCTTACAAGTTTACAAGGGTGCACTCAGCCCAAGAAATGGCTTTCTCCTCTATAAATGGTAACATATAGTCATTAAATTGGGTTGTGAGAGTATTTTTTTAGAAAGATTTCACATTTATTTTTGCTGGGCAGTGGTTGGTGGTGTACACCTTTAATCCCAACACGTGGGAGGCAGTGGCAAGTAGATCTTGAGTTTGAGGCCAGCCTGGTCTACAGAGAAAGTTCCAGGACAGCCAAGGCTATAGAGAGAAACCCTGTCTTGAAAAAAACAATTAAAATTTATTTTATGTATATGAGTGTTCTGTCTGCATCTCTGTCTGTGTACTGTGTGTGTAGCACCTGTGTTCAGTACATGTATGTGTACTGTGTAGATAAGTATGTGAGGGCTAAAAATGGGGGTCAGGTTGTACTGTAGTTACAGATTGTGAACCACCAGGTGGGTGCTTGGAACCAAATCCAAGTCGTCTACAAGAGCAGAAAGTTCTTGACCAGCCTGCTACAACTACTTTATGAAAGGAAGTGTATAGTGGGCTTCCATAGCACACTGATAGGCTACAGGCTAGAATTAACGTTAGCCTCGTGACTAAAACAGCCAGCCAGTCACACTAACGATACAGCTAACCTGCACACGAAGGAGACTCCGCCATGCTCCCACAGTGACTCTGCCATGCCTGCCTTCAGCCACCAGGGGGCATATGATGACCCCAAAGTGT